GTGTAGGTAGGCTAATTGTTTAAATTAGGTAGGTCATAAGCAGGTACCTTCGAATGCTGTGTATAGGACAGATAGCTGGTGATTACGCTTTCTAGGTAGGTACAGTGATTGCTTTTTATGAATGAGCTACCTCTGATTGAAGCTTAAGTATCTGGACTTGTAAACACTTTCGATATCAAAATCTGAATAGATTGAATATATATATTGTATGTAAATATGTGTATTTAGTATATTCCCCTACCAGAGGTGTAGTTGTTTAGGTATCAAGCCTATTTAGGATTGTACAGGTATAACACTGCTTAAAAATGCCGTAAAACTATCAGCCACACGACTGAATTCGTTAAGCCTGGGCAAAACACCAGGCCCCTGTACATCCCCTCACGCACCTGAGACTGCACACTTGCCTGCTCGGTTTCGTGTTTGTATTTGTCTGCCCGTTCCTCAATGGTCTTCTTCTCAGACTGAGTCTGGTGCAGCTCCTTCCGCAGCTTGGCAATCTCCTCCTGGAGGCTGAGGACACGGTTGGTTGCGTTCTTCGCCTCCTCCTCGCTCATCCGAAGCCTTTCCACATCGCTCCGCAGCTTCTCCGTCTCCGTGCTGTACGTGATCTCCAGGTTGCTCAGCTTCTCCAGCAGGGATTTGTACTCTTTGTTCTAGGCAAAACACACCACGTATCAGCTGCTGGAGAAGTTATGGTTTAAGGTTCCCTTAAACCAGAGAGAACAGTGGCCCCCCCTTCTCTCACTGATGTTCTTCAGCAGAAGAGAGAACTGATACCTTACCAACAGAATCCTGTGTGTTTTTCCGTGGAAGCCCACAGTGCTGCTGAGAAAGGTTACACGAGACTTCTAAACGATTCCCTGAGGCCAGGGGGCTTTTACCTGCTCATCAATCTTCCGCTGCAGCTGCATGATCTTGTTCTCCAAGCCAATGTGAAGCTTCTTGTAGCGTTCCACAGATCGGGCCTCTATCTTCAGCTTCTTCAGCTCCCTCTTGGCCATCATGCGCCGGTAACAGCATTGCAAGTAAACAATTGCCTTCAGGGTCCGACGGTAGCGCCTTCGAGCCAGCCAGCCTCTTACATGTTTTTGAATAATAACAGACTTGTGCTCCCGAAGCATCTACAGTGAAGGAAACAAGACCATGAGCGGTTTTAGAGTTGCAAGCTGCCCCTGCTCAGTCAAACAGACTTGGTAATGAGAGGTGTACAGGTGATGTATGGAGAGACACCGAAGCCTGAAAAGAGAAACTTCTGGTGAAGAGTCACAAGAAATTAATATGGAATTAATTTTAAACAAAAAAAAAAGAGAGGAAGATACAACAGGAATAAGGAAGATAACAGGGAATAACATGGAAAGGAACCAGAAGGAAAAATATGGAAAGAACGAACTGGAGGCCTACTGGAGAACAGGCATTCTTTTGTATTGTGTCAGAGCCGAGCTAATTACAAAAATACATGGTACCTGTTGGCAAGACTACAAACACACTCTTTGTTTTTTAATGCATCTTTTATCTTGAAACATCTCAGAATCACTGACATACGTGTGGTGGTGCACTTCTTCCCCTCTCACCTCCTAGACTGCTCTATGGCCTGAGAGCCACAGATATCTCCGATAGCCATCTAAGATCTCAGATTGCAGAGCTCTCTCTTCCCCTCCATTTTTACGGCAATACGCTGCACAGGATTCATCAGTGCAACGCTGAAAGCTACCTCACTTGACAGGCAATGCAGCTGGCACACGCCAGGACCCGGAGCAAATTGTAGCAGCTGTTAAAAACAGCAGCCCCAGTCTAGCTGACCAAACTACAAGTTCCAGCCAGTTTTCCTTGCTTTTTCCACCCTCTTTTTAGATATCTCTTAGACTTGCCAGCACGGAAAAATCTCCATGTATTCTAATCAGCATTTTTATATTGTAATAATTCCAACTTACTTCATGGTAGAAATTCCAACCATAGCTTTAAGGTATAAAAATAAAATCTGTAATAATTCTTCAAAAACAATTTTAAACAAAAATCAGTCAACCTTCACGAGTGTGTTAGCCAGAGACATCCACAAGGAAGAGTCTACTACTTGATTTTGGATCTTTCACCCACTGATTCCATCAGAGACCCCCCAGGTCTGGAGCACCTGAATTCCGGCAGACCACAGCTATGCCTGGAGAGCCTGCACAAACCCACAAGGCTTCCAGGACTCAGAGAACTTCAGAGTTCACTTAATAAAGCTTCCGCAAATTGAACAGTTTATGCTAAAGACAAAACTATTTAACATTTTATGCCACTTCATACATTTGCTGAAGATCATAGGCAGTTCACACCCTTGCACTGATTTACCACAAAGCTGGTGGGACAAACCAGTAAGGTAACAGCAATTTTATCTTCTTTTATGCTTCTCAGCAAATGAACTGAAACGTGTCACAAGCGTTACATTCACGGATCAATGAATTAAAAGTTTCACTGGCAAAGTGGCAAGAGTGTAAGATGCACAACCTTTCTCCTTTAGTATTTATTCCTGAAGGAAGGATGAGACTCCACCGGCACACGGTTACACAGCACACCAAGGTAAGGAAATAACTCTGTCCTAGCTACAGCAAGGTCAAAAGCCAAAGTCCTCCTGACTGCATGTCATGCACTTAGCATTCCTACATGCATGTACCAGTCCTGCCTCCTGCTTAATACATTTCCTGGAACCGTCCTTCAGGTTACCCACTGGTGCCTGAACAGCTCGGACACAACTAGCTTCCAGCACCACTTTCACCTCAAGTTTGAGAGCAAGACGTCCCATAAAATACCTCCATCGCGCAGGGATGGTCCTCATCTGCCGGGGAATTCGCACACCCATGCAGTCCAGTGAGGACGCGGGCCACTCCAACGTGAGAGTATCAGAGAACCGTCCTTCAGGTTACCCACTGGTGCCTGAACAGCTCGGACACAACTAGCTTCCAGCACCACTTTCACCTCAAGTTTGAGAGCAAGACGTCCCATAAAATACCTCCATCGCGCAGGGATGGTCCTCATCTGCCGGGGAATTCGCACACCCATGCAGTCCAGTGAGGACGCGGGCCACTCCAACGTGAGAGTATCAGAAGAGCTCCTTAATTTACCAGGTATTTCCCAGGAAACCTTGTGTAAAAGCTGTGGAGGAACTAAGCTCCTTGTAAAGCTGAGCAGCACACTGCAATGTCTCGGGCAGAAGCCTTCCCCAGGAAGTGTGAAATAGATGATTCAACCATTTACAATTCCTTGTATTAGTCATGTGACTGCAACACATGCCCTCTCTTCTAACAACAACAACAACAACAGGTACCTTGCACAATCCTCACAAACAGCACGTGTACCACACGAGTCATGGCTCAGCCCGAGTGTCACAGAGCAACCGCTCGGTTTCACTCACTTTTCACCGTGAACTTGAGAACAACCGTGTTTACCCTCCTCCCACGGCCTGGAGAGCCTGTGCTGCTACCGCTGGCCATCCCTGTACCTCAGCCTCAACGTAGCTCTGCCCGAGGAGGACACGGTGTACGCAGCTCACCGTGTCAGAACGTCATGTTTTACTGCAGTGACCAACTCGCCACTCGACGGAGGACGCTCCCTGGCCGGCAAGCCTGACCACCCCTTGGGAGGACCCCTCCAGAAATCTGCCATCTCTATTCCGAGGGAATATAGCACATTTATACAACTCTGCTACGGTGTGTACTGCTCCAGCGACTCACTTCAGGCATACAGAATCACCTCCCGTTTTCCTAGGGATGGCTTTTAGTCCACGCTGGGCTGTGACCCTGTCTCTGTCACATCTGTCAGATCACTGTTAAAAACATTATCTTATATAATCTAACAACGTAAAATACGGTTTGAAATAATGAAAAAGCTAAGAATTCCAATAAAAAGGCAAGTACCTATCCACACAAAAGAAGAGCTGAGTCAAGCACCATGATCCTACTACTTAGAAATCATCGGGGTGTTGTGGTTTAACTCTGGCCAGCAAATTTAAAAACGGGGTCTACTTGTTTTCAAACTCTCTGGTCAGTATAAGTTATAACGCTGTCATTTACACACATTCACGTGGGACTGTGTAGGTAACTGATATAAATGAAGAATACACAGAAACTTCAAATACAGGAGAGAAACACGTGAAACATAGGCAGTAGGTGGCTTTTGGTTATATGCCTTCAATATATACCTGCTTGGGGAAAAAACAGAACTCTTCTGGCTAACTTTTCAGAGGAAGAGAGGCTGACTTTTGAGCCCAGTTAAAACAATTTATGTAGACAAAAGTAGCCATGAAACATCTTGGCATCCTGTAGTCCAACCACGTGAATTGTAATTGTTTCCAACCCTGTAACCCCTGAAGATTAAAGTCTAATTTCTCAACTGGATTTTTGCATTTTCTCAAACGTAATCAGGAAAATATTATGAATATAATGATTAAAAAACCCCAACACCACCCCCCCCCCCAAGTTTTCATCTCCTATTTTTGTGGGTATGTCTCTGCTGACATCTCTCGCCTTCGGTATGTTCCATCAGCCATTTCAGAACCACTGAAATTAGGGTCAGAAAAGGAGTAGCAGCACGTCACACATGTGATGTGTGCAATACCGACTTGGACGCACGGAGGCACATTCACACAAGTGCCTTGACATTTGATATAAAAAAAGAACAAGTGTTCTGAAGAGAAATGCTGTAAATCCCTGTTAGATTCGCCCCTGACTGCAGAGACAGCCTAGGTACCCTCATGTTAGATGCAGCCTGAACATCTATAACATGACAAGTCATAGAATCACAGAATGGTTTGGGTTGGAAGGGACCTTAAAGACCATCCAGTTCCAAACCGCCTGCCATGGGCCGGGACACCTTCCACTAAACCAGGTTGCTCCAAGCCTCATCCAGCCCGGCCTTGAACACTTCCAGGGATGGGGCATCCACAGATTCTCTGGGCAACCTGTCCCAGTGCCTCCCCACCCTCTCCGGGAAGAGCTTCTTCCTGATACCTAATCTAAACCTCCCTGCTTTCAATCTAAGTCCACCGATTGCAGCATCAGAACTTCTCAGTTCCAAGTGCTGTCCGTCAGTCCACGCTGTGATATGTCATTGGTGCATTACGCGTAAGAGCACGCATGCAAACATTTCAGATTCCCGAGGGGACACCACAGAGCAGCTCTGTCCTGAAGGTCTGTGGAAATAAAGCTGGAGTGAAGAAGTAAAACATCACGATGTCTTACCATTTGGAACTTGTTCCTGGCCACGTAACCCCTTAGGAGAGCCTGAAGAGCAATAGTAGCAGCTCGCATGCTCTGATATCTTTTGCGGACCACGTACATGCGCTGGAACTTCTGAATAGTGACGGCAGCCCGTGTTCTCCGCAGGAACTTGGCATAGCTAAGCGAGGAAAAGATTACAAATGGTACCTGTAATTATTTGCCAGCGCTTGAATGTTGTTATTTATTTTCACATCCTGTAAGTTCACCCTGTTTCTCAAGCTACGTTTCCCACTTCAGCTTCTTCCCAACGCTGTCAGTGACACAGCATGTTTACTTGCTATTCCACCGCACGGTAGTACAGCAGAATGACCAATTAACAGAAACCTTGCACAGTCTGACGGGGAAATGTTTTCACTTCCTCTGAGAACTGTGTTACAGAACCGACAAGATGAACTCAGCTTCATTTCTCATCACCTTTTCTCTAGCTTTAAAGCCATTTCCACTGTGCCACCTTCCATATCTCCTCTCCCAACCTCAAACTGTAGAAAATGTTTGCTTGTTCCTGGCCCTCTCAGCAAGACGATTCCAAAGCATCTTGACAAAGGCCTCTTTCCAAAGGTTGGTTCTTACAGTCCTCATAACCACCTTGTCTTTGCGTGATACTGGCTGCACTCCTACCCTTTCCTCCAGCCCATCCATGGCCATTCCTCATACTCTGACTGAGGTATCTCCCTCACAGCTACATGCTGGACAAGGAATGGCTTCTCCAGCTGGGAGGGCACATGGAAACTGGGCTAGAAGGTGCAGCCAAGAGTCCTGCTTCACCTCACCTGCAACACATCTCCTAGTAGTATTTGTACTCTGCTCTCATTAATGACACACTGTTCTAAGCACCACAGAGGTGCTGCTGTCCTCTCACGAAGGTCAGAACCAGGCAGGATAGATACACTCATTCAATTTCCTTCATTTCCCTGGAAAATCATTTCCTCTCAGCCAGTAAGTATCACACTTAAATGTCCTACTTAAAGGGGTGGGAATTGAGGCTAATGTGGGTTTTCCCGCGAGCATTGCTTACCATCGTGCTTGGTACCCTCTGACATATCTCTGAATGGTGATGGCAGCCTTCCTCATACGCACGTACTTCTTGCGCATCAGCCAGCCTCGGATCGTCTTTTGGATGCGGATACAGGCGGCTCTCAACTTATCTGCCCTTATTTTTTCCAGATAGGCTACTTGACCAGCCCGGAAAAATATTTTTGTCTTGCCAAACTGGTACTTATCCTTGTCCTATTTTCAGAGGTAAGGAGAGGATCAGTTACAGCATTAAGTGTTAGTGGATTAAAAAAAAATGGCACGAAGAGCTAAATGACAGTACAGTTAGCAAAGAGGTAAAATCATCTGTGTAATATTTCAAGTAAACCTGAATTTAAACTAAGTGGTATTTGCTCTGTACGATTCTGTTAACAACTTAACAGTAAGGCCACAAGCACGGCCTAATGGAGTAGCGTGAGATTTTTGCTTCGACAACAATGCCACAACGATTGTAAGAGACGTGGGAGGCTACAGGAGGTGGCAAAAGGGGCCCAGGGGATGGAAGCAATCCAGGCAATGCGCACGTACAATTTCCTGCTTAAATTGTAGACGACCCCTCTGAACGGTTCACCTTCAACCGTATTACACAGCACAGCTGAAACAGCAGGGACTTCACACCCGTACGCGTCCTTCACTGCATCAGGACCAAGCCAGAACCAAGCACCTTGCCCAAACACCTCTGACATTTCAGAACTAAACCAGAAAGAGAATAATATGCTACCTCTACTGGCTGCAGTGCTCCTTGGAGGGAAAAACCGAAAATGTACAAAGGGACGCTCAAAAGAATTAATTAACTTTGTTGGCTGATGTTAAGTTAAAAGGAGCAGCAGTCAGAGAGCTCCAGCTTAGGACACATCTAACGCTGGACATTAACACTATAAAGACAGAGGCATGCATACAACCAAAAGATTTTAGTAAAGTCCACCCAAAGACACAGAATTTAAACGACCGAGCCCTAACCTGCCTGCACAGTATTTATTTTTCTGTTTCCATAAACATCCCAATATTGGCATTGCACTTGTGCAAGGGAAGCTGTCTTGCTTTTCCATCTTCAGTGAACTTTGCCTCTTCCTCTCTTACACATCTGAGTGAGTCTCAATTAACCACTTTCTACTGAGAAACTGTCCCTCTGGAGCCTGCCTGCCCTCCTTCTTCAGTCCTGAAGAAATTCCAGGAAACAGATCCATTCAGGTGCAACGCTGACAGCATGTATCCACGGTGTGGATAGCATAGCCTGGGAATGTCGGGCTGGAGGAAGAAAGCAAAGCCAAGAGGCTGCCGCTGTACAAAGACAGCCACAGTGCTAAGCAGGGAGACGATGCCCCAAGGACGGGGGTGAAAAAGGTTGAGCTCAGCACAGGAGCTGAGAGGAGCAGTGTGAAAGACACTGACACGCAGACAGGAACAACCCCACATCAGAAATCCTCCAGGTAACCGTACCTTACCTTAAGGTGGGGTTAACACATCTTGCCCCTAAGCAAGGTAAGGCTCACCCACAACCCACCCACAGGTAAAATAACCTGCTTTCCTGTGATACACCAGGAAAGTCTACAGACCCTGTGCTAACACTGGTGGGTCAGCAGTTCTCAGGAGTACTAAAATAGTGTGGCTGTGAGGGAGTAAGGGGCCCTGTCTTTACTCCCTCAGACTCCAAATGCTCTCAGTGCTAAGTCTAGTACCAGAATCAGCCTCTCCAGGACATTTTTACATGTCTGCTTTCGGTCACTAAGGACATCCCTCTGTTTCATCAGAACACGGTAACGGCTGAAGAACTCTTGGTACGTCCACCTGTCCCAAAAAGAGAAGGAGAGAGTGTCAGTCCCAACAAGGAATCATTCTCTTAAAAAGAACCGCCACCAAAAAAAGCAGCAAACACACCTGGAGGGGAAGCCAGCTGCACTGATTCGGATGGTCTCCAGCACACCGCAAGCTCTCAGCTGCTGCACGGCCCGCTTTTCATCGAACCTACATATAGGAAAAAAAGAGCCTGTGGCTAGTTTTGCACGGCATGGGACCTCTGGCCCTGTGCACACCGAGGGGGGTGGTTAACAAGTCCAGCTCGTGCTTCTGCAACCCAGCGACAACAGAGGACAGACTGATGGGGGAATTGCCCGAGCTCAGCCGCTGCAAAGCTGCTCATCCCGTCCGGCTTCCCGCCGGCCTGCCCAAGAGCCACGGGAATCTGTGAGTGTGTGCCCAGATTTTAAGCAGACTTCTGAGAAAAGCCCTAAGCAAGTTCATATATGGGAAAAAAAAAAAAGGTAAAGAATCAGACGTCGGAACCTGCAAAAGCAAATTCCAGCAAATGTCAGATGAACTCAAGGTGTGCAAACTGCCAGTCACGTTTCAACAGCTAGCAATGCAAGTGCTGCTGTTTTTTCCTCATGCATCACCCTAAACAAGCAAATTAAAGCATTGGGAAGCACTTCTCCCTCTGTTCATCCCAAAACGTCTCCTGCTGTAAGTGCCCGACGAGTCCATAACAAGAGGAAGGCACCGCACCACTCACAGGTGCACCAGGTTTAGCAGAACCCCACTCCCTCAAGGCCTCGGGCAGTTCCCCCCACCACCCCCCCGCCCCGTGCCCAGCCTACCCGAGCAACACGTGAACCAGCTTACGTGAACGGAAACTTGAAGTCGTTAGGCTTAATGCAGCGCACGTAGTGTGGCGTTGTAGCGTTCAGGGTCTCCATCAGCAGGTGGAGGGAGTTTCGAAACTTTTTGAAAAAGGAAAAGGGAAAAACGTCAGGGAAGAACCTGAAGAAGCTCAGTAACATTGGAGACAACCTCAGGAAGCGGACCGAGGGATATTTGTAATAATGCTTTTGGCAACAAACACCAGCTTGGCTTTGTCACGGCAGCAGACTTAGGTTTCAGATACCGCCCTCGGGTGAGTTACAGGGAGACCTCACTGTTAGGTTTTGCCAAAGTAAATCTCCCTCATCAGCATGTGATAAATTACAAAGACACGGGGTAGACTGAGTTATTTTCAGATTTTGACTGCCTCATCTACCCTAATCTTTGTCAAATTCATCTCTCCATGACCCAACCTCATGACATGTTACTAAACAGCCACTTTATTTTAAATAAATTTTAAATCAAATTTAAAATCAACAGAGTGGGTATAAAAAAATGTATCAGTCTCTTCAGCTCCACTGATCCCAATGTCAGACCTACTGAGGAGAACATTGAAAGTCCCATATCCAAGAGCTCCAGGGGCTTTCCTTTTAACGAAGTATCAAGACCACAAATACCTAATGTACAGCAGTATATCCCTCGAACCACAGAACACCCTTACAGATAAACTGTGAAAACACATCTTAGGTGTTTTAAAAGTATTGTATGGATTTCCCTCTTTCTGTTGAACTCATGATTCTAAGCCCTCTTCTATTTCTACACAGGGTATGATAAGACCCACTTTTGCATTTGCTTCCTTTAGAATTTATAAATTAATACACACTGGAGTAGTGTGAGTGTACCCCTAAGACTTCAGCGCATAGTTACAGTCTGGCAACACAACCGTCGGGCCTCTACCAGCCTTGGCATACTGTCTGTTTGCAAAATCAGAAACAAAGTTCAAGCTGAAAAGATAAGTGGGCAGGGACTCTCCTGCAGAAGATGGGAATTTGCAGCCTGTACCATGAACACGTGCCAAGCAGGTTTGCATTCTGCACATCAGCATGAATAGCCATTCCTATTCCCACCCACAGCCTGTTTGGGGAAAGTTATAGAGAAATTATGAATATCCTAATAAAAAATTCCCTCAATTCCCCGATTCTCACTTAGCAGCGCGAGCGGCTCGTGACACTGCACCGACACTGTGCTAACATCTTTGTTAGAGGACTGACCGCCAGCCAAGGCAGTGGCCAAAGCCCAGGCATTTTTGGTGATTCTATCACAACCCCGAGCACCCGAGAGATGTGGCTGCTGCGTCTTCCAGAACTGGCACAGGGCCCTGATCAAAAGAACATTTATCCCCTGAGATATAAATTATTCCCGGCTGTCCTACAGGAACATAAAAGGAGTTGCCCACACAGACCCCCTGGAAGCCCCAGGCAAAGGAAGAATGCCCCCACTCACTAGCCAAGTGGTACAGGCTGGCAAGCAGATAAAAGCTGCGTACCAGACTGTCAAAACAAGGTCCCTTTGGCTCCCATGTGTAGCCCAAGGGACAACCTGTCATACACAGAACACTGACTGGGGACATCACCACCTCGAGAAAACACACGTTAAATGTGATGAGTGGAAAGTAGCAAAGAAGCGAGGTCTCCAGCCACACCGACTGCACACTTCCAATTAATCCTGGCACATGCCCGTGGATATTTGATGTTTAGCCCATTGACAGCTGGACCCAAGTTTTCTACAGACTGAACTCCCAAGTTTTATTTGAGTCACACTATGTGGCACGTGATCAAAATGACCCAGTAATTGATTCTCAGAGCTTCCCAGCATCCAGCAGATTACATCTATTTTGAAAATCTTAAGTTTGGGCACCACAGTAAGAATTGAACTCCCCGAAATTGTGACCCAAAATATATTGATAATTAGGGTATATCTGTGTAAGTCATCATCAGCTTCACCTCTCTCAAAATCCCAAGGGACCCCAGGAAGCACCAGCACACCTTGAGACCTACAGAGACAGAGGGATGTAGAGATCATGGACAGAGCTGCATCTTCACGCTCACCTGATGCCCCACGGTCTTCTTATGCTCCTTGCTGGCCTGGCCGGGCCTGGCCTTGGCCGGCTTTACAGCCGTTCGAGACAAAGGCACGCGCCCTGAAGGGGTCACTGACGTGGGACTGAGGACCTTCTCCTCATCCTGGAATAACTCCGGTAGCAGCTTAAACTGGTGTAACAGCAAAAAAAATACAGAGCGTAAGAATCCTGCATGTGATCCCCTAAGGTAGTTAGAATCCAGGCTCGGGCTTTGTAAGCACTGGGCTTTTGCTGAACTCCGCGTGAGGACAAATGCAAAAGAGCAATCAAGTTAGTGGTGTAGTGAGTGGGCCATGACTTAACACTCAGAATTTTGTGGGTTTGATCAGTGAGTCTCCTTCTGAAGATAAAACTCTGATTTGAGTCTTCTTTTCATCGAGTCAGCAATAGCTTTGACGTGGAACTGTTAGATACTGACGGCAGTTTCACAAGTACCAACTGCAATTATATATGGCTGCTTTGATCTAAGGAGGAAACAACAGGGTCCTCCCATATTGCAGTGGTGCATCAGTCTCCTCAGTGGTTGAGAAATATCTAGGACAATGAATAACCCAGCAGGCAACAAAGAATATTCCTGCTTTATTGCTCTAAATTGTAATAATCAACTTAAAAGAGGAACCATCAATGAAAAAAACCCAAACCCATTAACTAAATTTATCTGACCGAAGATCTACTCACAGGCCAGTGGGAGAGGAGGAAAAACCTGAAACATCCTTCCAAATATCACTCAGGGCTTCCGCTTCCCTTTCTCTAATGACTACAAAATACACCCAGACGTAATAGCTGCTTTGAAGGAACGTGTAACTAAAAATAACACCACCAGGTCTTTCTACCGACAACTACAGCGCTTCAGAAGCATTGGAAGAGTAAGAAAATCTGAACTTCTCTACCTGTCAGTGAATAATCATCTGTACATTTTCTCCCAAGAGACAGGAGCGTTCAATTTGCAGTACTAGAAAGTGCTTGGGCTAAGTACAACCTAAAAAATAAAGAATTTGGGTTTGTGTTATAAACCTTGGTGAGCACGCAAGATACCCCATGAAACAAGCAAAGTGGTACTTGTGCTCTGGTGGTGCCAGATGGGCTAGCAGAGGGCATCAGACGTTCCTCGGGAGCATCCAGCACAGCACTCCAGCGTAGTACAATGACTATCGATGCTACGAAGGTATCCTAAATTCCTGAACTACGAAAGGAGTATCACAGCCGAGCCAGATCTTGCCTGAGTCTGCCAGATGAGGAGCACCATCTCCTTAGACTACCGCTGTAGCTGGTGGGAAGAATGACAATTCCAGAGGGTGATCAGCCCATCTCCTTCCACTGACTCAACCCGGAGTTTGGGATGACTGGGCCACCACGGGTACACTCCGGCGCCCGAGCCACGCAGCCGAGCCTTTCCACGCCATACAGAAAGCTACGGAATGCAATATGCTTCCTCTGAAACTCCTGGTGCCCTCGCAACCAGGGGCAGGAAGGGCGTCCCCAGTGCCTGGGCTGCAGACGGGTGAGCTCTTCCAAGCTATCGGCATGGAAGCCTCATTCCCTTTTTCCAACCCTGAGAAAATCTGCCTGTAAAAACGGGCAAGTGCACTTCCAAGCCCCGTTTCCACAGACACCGCCTGGGTTACGGCACGCAGGAGAACGAAGCAGTGCACCTTCAGCAGCAGAGGATGACACCAGGAGATGATCCCACTGCAGGGGCATTTCACGTTTTCATTGAGTTTGGGGTTTTCAGTATCTCACCAGTTTCCTTTGTTTTGCAGAACACTGAGTGTTCAAAGAGAGGAAAAACACTGATCAAAGGGCAGGTAATTCGCATGGTAGAAAACAAGCAAGCAAGCATTTTTTTCCCCTGTAATTTCTTCAGGCAACTTAACAGACATGCTGCTAACTACCTGTCGGACGCTCTCTTTCACTACAGAGCCACCACAGAAGATTTTAACGACATGCCAGCAGCAAGCATAAAAGCTGAGGACTGCTGCGTTGCTTTCGTGACACACGCATGGAAAGCGAACCAGTTCAAAGAGGCCCTGTGGGTGGATTCATAGAGAAGGCCAAAAGAAATGGCTGTACAGCAGGGCTGTACACGTGTCACGCGCTTTGGAAAGGAAGGATTCGAGCTGTGTGCGGGAGCGGGCACGGGCAGGGTGACAGGTGACGCATCCGACCTAGAATTACCTTCTGTTGAACGTGCACAGCGAACCCACAAAACAGCAACAACAAAAAGATAAATCACAAATGCAATCCCACCACAGTTACTAATAAAGAGGGCCTGCTGAAAAATAAAATATGAAACGTTCTCCTTTTGGAAAAAAACTGTTTTCTTCATTCATTTTTGTAAAATCTACCGTTGGAGAAAACCGTGTTGTTTTGTAGTGTTTGAACTGAACTGACTCAACCTACTGAGCCTGCCCGAGCCACTGTCACGCGCTCACGGCAGCTGTGTCCCCATCGTCCCTCCCTCACAGACTGCATGCCCGGAGCACCCCCGCAGAGCGCGCTCCCACGCCAGAGCCAGGCGCGGGCGGTGGGTCCCTGCAGCTTCCCGGGATGCCACCTGCCGCCTCCCACACACCCAAACCCACTCCAGCCCTTCTCGCAGTGCAAAGCCTGCCGTGGCTTTTCGTTATGCCACGTTTTGATCATTAGCTTCAGGTATCTGCTCAGAATAGAAACAGAAGAGAAAAATGTTGGTTTTCCTGATAGAATAGCATAATTTTAAATAGCCTGTCCTTGATACCCGGCTTCCTGGGCCATTAGAGCCAGCAAATTCCCAACAGCCGTCACAGCGCAATGTCAAGTTAATTGCCTTTACATTTCAGAGGAGCCCAACTAGCATTTTTGCCATTAAAAAAAGCAGACGATGCCACTGAAGGCCCTGTTCTATAACATTCCTTCACACAGTATTTCTCAATTCACGTTATCTTGCTTCCATAGATATCCAGAAGGCAAGACTCCATAAATTTTGGTTCGTGTTCTCAGGGTCTATACATTTCATTCCTCTCTCATTTACCTTCTGGAACAGAACTTGTCTCTCCTCCAGAAATTTTCTGCTCCATTGTCGGGCCATAAACAAGGAGCTCCTGTTTTCAGATTACAAAATTAAGGTCTTAACAGCTAAGCCTTCTCCTGCTACAACAGTGTATTAGAAGTCCTTGATGCCTTTACAGAAAATACAGCAAAGTTTTGTGGAACCAAAAAATAAACCAAAACCCACCAAACAGTGAAATCTGTGGCTAAATACAGACTGATCTTACGTGGGGGAAAATTAGGCTACAGGACTGTCTAAATTCATATGGATAGCCAAGTAAAACACAAATGTGCAATTTCAGTTGATCTGATGCTAATGGAGAAATATTTCCTGTATTTATAAGAAATTTTAGAGGACCCTTAATTCAAGGATTCATAACTGCAAAAGAAGAAGGAAAATCCGTATACTAACCTTACTTGATTTTAGGACCTTAATTTGTTCTTCATAAACTGTGTCTTTATTCTTTTCCAAAAAGCCTTCACACTGATATTCCACCTGAAAACCATTATTGTACAAAAATGTTAAGCATTCAGAGTATTTAATATTTCGCACAGAATTCACCAGCTGTAACATTCACATGTAAAACCGGTAGTTCTTGTGGATGTTGAAAATAGCAGCTCCCAAGTGCATCTTTGCTCAGTATGGATTTTCCTCAAAGAGAGTGCTTTCCAGTCAAACACAAAGCATACCTAACATCCTGTTACTCACTACACCAGACATACTTCACTGCTGGGAGACGCTTGCGGTAAGACGGCATGACTGAACGCTTACCGTAAAGGCGAAGAATCCAAATGTGTGTTGAAGCAGCTCCTTCGCTGACGTTACCTGGGCTGCAAAATTGTGTGAAATCCAGAAGCAACTCAGAACAAAGTATCTCGCCTCATCTTGTTAGCCGAGAGGCAAGAAGCAGATCTGCCTGCAGCTTATTACGCCTCATTTGCACCCAGACAGACTGTTTTTACCAGAAGCAGTAAGAAGCTGGAGTGTTGTGACGATACCTAACAACCCCCTAAACCAGGGCCCCGGAGCCTCTGGGACCAGAGCGTAGGACAAAAACTTACTTATTTCACTGTCCTAATTCAAGGCTGAACCAAACCCCGGAATTATTACCTCACTCTTCAGCCTCGCACCAGCAGAAGCGCGGACCATAAAACACCAGAGCAGACCCCTGGAGCAAGTGGTTTCCCCTCTTTCAGCACAGCCATCTACACCACTATACCCCGAGCTGCAAAACCTTCCCAAAAATTCCGAGGGGGGAAGGAGGCAGAGGATGTCCTCAGGGTCTCCACAGCTGACAGCCCACTCCGCACACTGCCTGGGGTGCCGTTAATGTCCTTACCGCGGGGGACAGTGCCACGAGAGGGCAGCAGAATCTCTGCCTTCTCCCAGAGAAGACACAGAGGGCACTAACCTGACAGCTACAGCTCCATTTTTCCCTTCAAGATGTCTGTACGCATTCACGAAGGCACGCAGGACGGCGTAAAATGCGTAGGCAGACAGCGCATCGGAGCTCAGAGCTTTGCCAGTACCTGCCGGGAGCTGCTTTCAGCTTTCCTTGGCCCTTGCTACTCAGATGGGAATACAGAAAGCCTTGTTTTCAAATATCAAAGTTTAGCCTAATCATCACTGTATGAAACTTTAATTAAATCCTTCTTGTTCTCTCATCCACCACGTACAGCAGAACTCATGAATCTAAGCAGTTGCGGAGATGTTCTTGCTGCTGCGTTAAGACAACAGTAGCTGCAACAAGAACAGGACCACTCTTCTACCTGTACGTTCAAGAGCCTGGGAAAAACCCAGTGGAGGCAAATGAAGCCCTCCAACCCCCTAGGTCAGCATGTACAGACCTACTGTAACAATCCCAGAGCTTCCCCAAAGCATTATTGACAAAGCTGACAGTATTCCGAAGCAGCTTCTTTGTTTACCAGGACAATTATCTTAAACGGGACTGTAAGATCTCTTTATCTTGTTTTAACCCGAGGAGCTGCTGAGTGTGACGAGGCGATGTGGGAGCTGAGCAACGCACATGCTCCACTGAGATACCCCAGCAGCACCGAGGGTGGGAGCCGTACACACGCCCCAGCGATAAGAAGGAGGGTGCGTCACCTCTTTCCTGTTTGCACATTAAGATGGCAGCAAACCCAACACCTTTTACTGTTGCTCTTTAGCTGAAAGTACAGCCAGATATGTGATTTTTCTGTTTTGGGTATTTCTGCAGCATAACTGGAATTGATATGATTACGGTGTGAATCGCAAACGCACTGAGCTGTCATGTGTTGGAAAGGGATGGTTAGTGGTTACAGCATGGGACAGGAATCAGGAGCTCCTGTTTGTGCTCCTGGCTCTGCACAGCTGCCAGGTCAACCTTCTCCTGATGGGTTGTACAGGCAGGCACACATGGTGCAAAAAGCCAAGTAGAGCCAGGGATGCTGCTGCCCAGTCACTGCATCTCTTCACCGTCAGGGTGGGGAGGCATTGGCACAGGTTGCCCAGAGAAGCTGTGGATGCCCCATCCCTGGAAGTGTTCAAGGCCAGGCTGGATGAGGCTTGGAGCAACCTGGTCTAATGGAAGGGGTCCCTGCCCATGGAATGGGGGTTGGAACTGGATGGTTTTTAAGGTCCCTTCCAACCCAAACCATTCCATGATTCTAAGCCTGCCAACAGCCACCCACCCCCAGATCCCCTCCCAGCACACGCTCAGCAGCACCAGCCACGGAAAGAGGTACCGGAGGAAAAGTCCTTACCTTGTCAGCAAAGTGCTTGATGATAAAAGCCTTATTTGACAAACGTGGCTTTTCAAAGAGGGCACATTTATTCAAATGAGTATTGTAGAGCTTTTGGGCCCAAGTATCATCTGAGCCTTTTGGCATCTACGGAAGAGAACACACAGCCATTTAAAATGTCTCGAAAACCTTCCTATAGCAAAAGAAACTAAGACAGCGGGGGCCAACACTTTGTGGTTTGCTTCAAACCCCCAACTCTTTGGATTTCCTGCACTGCCTTTGGCAAGGAGCTGGTAACCAGCTCTGCACTTGCCTTTCTAACTGCCGCTACATCACTGGAAGCTAACACGGCTCCCAGTGTCACGGACTGGAAGGTGGGGATCCAAGAGGTACGTTATCTGAATAGCACCTCAGTGGGTCAGAACTCATCCACGAGCGACTGCTTGCAATGCTCTGTGACACACAAGAAGCCTAAGCTGGGTTTCCGCGGAAGCGGACGCCACACGCCATCCCCTGTACATGGCCGAAACTAAACTAAGGACAAAAGGTGAGACACCAAATGACTAAAACCATTTTTTCTCCTCCTGTAATTGCCAATTCTGTTTGTACATTCTCCAAACCCTTTCAACAGGGGTGTCCCAACGACAGCTTCATGCAGACGGGGTTTCCCTGTGAGGCCCCAGAAGCAGGACGGCCGATGACGTCTTCCTCTGTGAAAGCCCTGGAACACACACCTTGCACTCCTCATCCAGCAGATCCAAAATTCCCATTTTGGCCTCTATAAGGTTGATGCAAGGCTGATTGTCGTAGAAATCAATCAAGGTCCATGGTATTTGTTCCTTCATATATTCTTCTTGTTCCAGCTTAAAGACGTGCTACAGGGCAAAAAGGAAAGAGTTCTCTATGTAATAAAATGCAGAATAAATACATTGAGCTCTCTTGAATTCAGCTGGGCACGCTAATCCAGGCTGTCAAGTGACACACTAGATCAACTGAATAAAGCCTTTAACAAGTAAGTGGATGAAAAATGTATTAACCTTTTTTCCTGGCCTAAAAACAACAGTCTAAATTAAAGCACTCATCCATATTCTCTCAAAAAAAGGTCTGGTTTTTCCTATCTTTTTACCATATTGTTGCACAATTACTACAAGCTCTTTTTGCATATTAAAAAAAAAAAACAAAAACAAAACAAAAACAAACAGCACAATCCCCAGAAGAAGCCTCAAGCACAGCAACATATAAAGTGGGATGTGAAGTTATGAATGCTACTCTATTTCAAGCAGAATTTCACTATAAATACTTTTGCATTTCCTTGTAAAAGAACAGAGCTCCATCCTCTCTTAAACAGCTGCTGAGTTTTTTCGAAGACGATGCAACACATTAGAATTTATTCTTCAGCAAAAGCCTGCAAGAATAACTCTAGGAGTATGCACACAGGAAATCCCTTAAGCAGAATTTTGGGGAAGATTTATCTGGTACAAAGATTGGTAACAACATAGTTGCGTATTTATTCAAAAATACTATCACAAAAAACCTGCAGACCTTTAACGAAATGTGCATAGGAGATGAATTAAAACTTCAGGCAAAGAAAGATAATAAGATACTACACAGGCAAAGTGTGGTCTTAATGGCACAAGCACCCTTAAAAATCAAAAAGGCTGCTGACTCCAGTTATTTCAAATGAGGCTTTCTCTCCCATTTAAATTTTAATGCCCACTACCCGCTCTGGCAGGCAGAACGGACTCAGCGTACCCGACAGGGAGCAAAAAGCAGCACTAGGGCAGGCTTCGGGGACCACCACACACCCCCGTATTTGTGGGGCTGGCCCCTGAGCTCACCACACCGGCCCACAAATGCCCGACAGCTCTGGCACGTGCCTGCCAGAGAGCAGAGAACTACCCCGATGAAGCGGTTTATCCCTTCTATTTCATTAGCTCGACGCCAGCCTTTCCAAAGCGGCGCTCCTCAACGGTGCCCACGGGAGCTGTTC